GTCATTCGTCGCTCAATTGTAGAGTTTCTAGTCAACACGGGGTATACGGTAGATGTCGAAAGGTCGTTTAAGGTCATCTACAGAACTTCAATTAATCTACCCAAACATCTGAGGCAGATTATGGTTTGAACGGCCGAGGCGGTAGCTATTCTTATCCTCCACCCCGAATTGTACCAACAAAAATAGATTGTTCACATGCGGTCAATCTCCTGCTATGTCGCACCCCTTACAAGTCGCATTTTCCAATCGCAATCGATTTTTAACATTATAATTAATAGCATCTACTACTGACTAACAGGCGATGTCGCAGTTCCTGGAATTTACCCTCCTTTTCGGATTTCCGAAGGGCGTGACATAGTAGGAGATTGACTGTATTGAGTTTCCCATGGCCTGACGATATAACGTAAATAACTGTTGTTCAGAAAATCAAACGATGATCGTGTTACGTAATTAGCTTAATCAAGTGACAACTATTCTGTAATCTCCTCTTCCCACCCCGGTTTATTTTATGAATCGTGACTTTTTGTTGTCTTGTGATCGTATATTAATGTTGAAATTTGCGAATGAACAATCGAAAAGGATTCTTCGCTCCAAGTTAGTTGTAATCAACAATCAGCCAACGGTACTTCAACGTTCTTGTCAGAAGAAGAACTTTTTATCAGCTATTTTATTCTTCCTCCGATCACAATTTATTTCATTAACCTTGTCTGCAACTAAGATACAGAAGTTGAAAAATTTGACAAACGGTACACACATCTTCAGTATAACATCAAACAAAGTCTGTTTCAGTTCCAAGTGAGATAGCGCATGGTGAATGAACAAGCTGGAACGTCACCGTACCAAATCCCTCGCGCCATACCAAAATCTTGAGAACCGACTGCTCCTTTGTTTTAATTTATGATACCTTAAACAGGGAAAACGATTTATTCAGAAATTAACTTACCGTAATCAGGATTCGGAATACGAATAATGGTGTACTTAACTCATCTTGACTATCACGCGATAGCTGAGGAACTGTCACTTATTCCGAATCCTTATTGTGGAATTCTAACTTAAATGATTGTAATAATGAGTAAAATTAAATGTACTCCTTGAAATTTGGGAGAATTTTGAGATCCGAGTTGTCACTGGTCTCACAAAAGTGTGAATGCATGAAATATTTTTTGGAACTGAATATTAAAAACGAAAGTGCTAACGCAGAATTTAATATATGTTACTGTTTACAAAAAGATGATCAAATTAGGCAAGCAAGAGAACATGGCACATCTCACCCGTTTATCAACTTCAATGTGAGTATCGGCCTCCAGAAAGAAAACCGGAAAATTCCACAATTTGACAAATTCAATTTTGGGCGAATTTTGAATTTTCGCGGAGACTTTTTCTTAGAAGTCAACTCCATTTCAGCTGAGATGTTGCCGAGTATCACTGGATTCATCGTCCAACTTATCTCATTGAAACATTGTATTTAACCAGGACAACTCTTTGGGCTTTTGTTACTGCTAACCAGAAATAAAGATTAAATCTTTGGGGCTTTACGATGTACTCCCTCGACGATTCTCAACACTGCCATGCAATAGTAGAAAGGTCTTCATTGTTGATGACTGCTTTTGTCGAAACCAACCTTCTCTTAGACCTGAATTGTCAGTTAATCTGTGCTGAAATTTCGCCTCCTTAAGTTCTCTCTGGATTAGCAGTTTTGCAGAGCTTAAAAATGCGGATGAATTTCATAAGTGAAACAGAGATAAAAGGTTGACTAGCTGAATACCAAAAGCCTGCGTTCGTCTACTGCTTTTAAAGGTTAGCATATCGTAGTTATATTTTAAAGAGAGACATTCCTTTCAGAATATCATTTCTTTTTACGATAAAGGTGTTGCGAGGAGTTGCCTCCTTGTACCCTGACAATGAACCGCCTCTTAAAATCCCATTTCCTTCTCTAAAAAAATTTTTGTTAATTTTTTAATAGCACGAGGTTTAACGCAATTACGTGCTCAGTTTAAAAAAATAGCTGTACACTGCAGTGATATATTTACATTGAGGCGAGCACCGTGATGCATTTCAAAGTTGATGCCAAATGTGAATTGAGGCTACGTGACATCAAACCGGATATTTGATGTAAATACGTTTTCTCAAGTGAACGAAATCCTCTGATGTGAAAAAGTTGATTACCAAGAATAAGGTTTAACTAATTTTTGAACCCTGGACTACGCTGGGAAATGTCACGTTTTTCTCTGAAAAAGGGACTGTTTTCCTTTAACCCCCGGGTGGATAGCTCATCATTGTTAATGTACCACTTAGCAACCGACGATCAAGTAACCAAAGCAAACACAAAATGGCCGCGAATCGTTGCTTCCCATTTATTTCCCACCTACTAAGCGCACGATTGCGTGCCTAATAATCATAATCGTCTCTGGAGGCTGATTCGGGCAAAGATGCTTTACCGTATTGCTCTGCAGACAATCGTAACGTTTGCTTGCTCTCCGCCCTTCCATATACGCACAAATCTATAAGTTACTCCAGTTAACCGTTATTCAGCGGCCTCTCATTGTCCAATTATGTTGAGGGACCAAGTATTCTTATCACTGTGAAACTGAAAACAATTTACCATTTATTTTTTTCATCCAACAACATAATGAGCGATGTGAGTCAGAAGCATAGGACATTCCTGGGTCGAGCGTTCTCTGTGACCCAGTTTCGACTGACACTGGATCATAAGAGACTTCTTGTGAGAAACATTAAACAGAGAATGCCGTCAAGTTCTAATTGGTCCTCAAAAGTTCTTGTCTGGCATCAAATTATCGTTGATAATCTGCTGAAAGAAATCACGCTAAAAAGTGTATACATTCATAGTTTCTAACCATGTATTTTGACCAGCGACGATTGTTGTAATGGAGTTCATCCACAGGACTGCTTATACCTTTAGATTTTTGTAAAACATCCTTTTCCCTTTATTCATTTCTTCAACACCAGAATACATATGTGAGCAGAATTGATATTGGCCATCAATTTCGCGTGCTCTCATTCAGCTGTAAACGCATATTTATATGATCATGTGAAACGAAGAAGCATAAGAGTTGAAATGAGTCATTTGAACAAAGTGGTGGACAAGTGAGTTGAGTGATTTGTGTTTGGTTAGGGGTTGAGGTCAAGTAAGATGAGGAAATTTTATATGGAGGTGAACTGGTCCGAACGATGTGGTGAATGTGGGGTACGGAGGGGAAGGGAAGGTCACGTCATGTCACGTCATGCAATGGTAGGATGGTATCAAGTGTGATATCATCACTACCACGGAAAAAACAGTTGCGTCACAGATGTTTTTTAACACAATTGCTGTTTCAAGCGATGAATAATTATCGCTTCTAAGAATCGTAAAGTCCGTGAACTTCAAGGCCTCGCAATGACTCAAAACGCTTTGGGTGCGTCGACATGGTGACCGGAATCTAACAAATGACGGGCGATCGCACTAGATTGTAAGTTACCTCCGCAAAGACCAAGGTGTTTCGGAAATGTTCACACATTCGGGTTGATAAGTGACGTTCTGTTCTTCCAATGTACCGCTGACCGCGAGTACATTAAAATGAACAGATGCAGTTGGAGGTAACACTAACGTCCTTTCGATCCAGATTAGTGCGTGTGAGGCAATGAAACGTCCAGTAGGCAATCATTAGTCTTGCGGTATTGTACGTTCTTTCGACGGCGTGTGTTAAACGTCGAGATATCTTTGTTGGTACATCATCTCCCTTGAAAGGCAGTTCCATATCTTCCACATCTTTCTTCTTGGCAGATAGGGAATTAGGCTTGGCGTTGATCGCCTTGCTGTACTTGCGGATGAATGCGATGGGATAACCGTTGTCTAGTACAGCATGGGTCAGTCGGTCAAGTTCATCTAGCGGGACGTGTGGACTGCATAGTCGGCGAACCATGTGAAACAGAGTGCGTACCAGACCACGCTTATATCCCAAAGGACAGAAACTCCTGAAGTGTAAATACAGTCCTGTCCATGTAGGCTTTCGATACATAGAAATATGTAGCTAACCATCTGACATTCAATTATGTAGTAAGTCAGGGAATGGAAGTTTAGATTCCGATTCACATTCTAACGTCAGTTTGATGTTGGGATGCAATGAGTTCAACTTGTGAAATAATACCATGATATCTGTTTCGTTGCGCGCAATAACCAGTGTACCATCAGCATATCGCCGATATAGTAGGGTCGAATTCAAATCACCTTCCAGTTTGTTTTCTAGTGTTGACAGGAAGAAATCAGCAAGAATTGGCCCCAAAGGGCTACCCATAGCTACACTATCAACCTGTTTATAGATATTTCCATTGAAAACAAACTGTACATCGCGGACGCATAAATCCAGTAGGGTTTTAAAATAACTGGCGAAGAAACCTATTTCACTAGCATGTTTACATACTTCGTTCACAGCTTCCTCGATCGGGAAATTTGCGAACAACGAAATAATATCGTAGGAGGCGAGAAAACAACTACGGTAATCTACGTCTGGTATTGCTTCTTTTAATTGAAATTTATCCTTCAGTCCGAACATAAACAGTACTTAAACAGGTACTAATTGGAGCAATCAGCTTCGCCAATCATTGTGCGAGTTTGTGTTGGGGAGAGTTAACCATCGATAGGATTGGTCTTAATGGGATCCCCGGTTTGTGCAATTTCGGCAGTCCGTACATTCTTGCGATTTGTGAACCCCGAGGTCTCAGTTTAACGAATGTGTTTGTGCCGATCACACCTTCCTTCCAGAATCGCTTTAACGTAGCATAGACTGTTTTTTTCCAAAGTTCCAGTTTGGTCTTTTGCTTTTGGATCAAGTTGAAAGCGAGTGTGATCCATAATTATTCGCTCCATCTTTTCGACATAATCCTCCTTATGGAGGATGACGACTCCCGAACCTTTATCTGGCTTCATAAGCAAAATTGACTTGTTCCGTTTCAGTTCTTTTATCGCGTTAATGTGATCTTTTGACAGTAGGTTATGATGGCACGTTTGGAAACACGGAAGTGGTGAGCCAAGTCTACAAGTCTAGCTTTTAATCAACTTCCTGATTCAGTTGTACATGGTGTTAATTCTTTTGACTGATCTGCAAGGTTCTCAAACTTTGCATCTACTTCGAAACTCTGAGGCTTCTTATCGGGTACACAAAAATTGAAAACAAGTGATGAAGCTTCCAGTTGCAATCGATTCAATGCAAATTGCGATAAATTATGGACGTACCTTCTGAATTCATTTGGAAACTCATCTGTGGTAACTGCCTCTGATAATGATTTTGATAGATCATTGAGCATCTGACTTCGACATCGAAACTGTAGTTCCCGGCCTAATTTATAGAATTTGATCCGACACACAAGACTGAGACTATCCAAACACAAATCACTCAACTCACTTGTCCACCACTTTGTTCAAATGACTCATTTCAACTCTTATGCTCCTTCGTTTCACATGATCATATAAATATGCGTTTACAGCTGAATGAGAGCACGCGAAATTGATGGCCAATATCGATTCGGCCCACATATGGCTTTACATTTTTATGTATACGCATCTCCTAAGGTTTGTGCCCTAATCCGCTTAGAAAATTAGCTCCTGTATCTCAGGCCGGCCAGGTTTTGGTACAATCTCTTCGTCGCATAGAACTTTTCTGTTTTAAATTGCCCGGATAGTCCATCACTCCATAACACTCACTCACTCCATAACAGATCTTCCGGTGACGACTTTCTTCCAATCTTTAAGTAGCATAGGATTCATAGCTTATCCTCCTGTGTGAATCCGACAATCACAGGATCGATGGGGCTCATTCATCGATCGATCAGATGGTTTCACTGCAACAAGGGAGCGAGAACCCCCAGCTTGTCCATAGCCGCGAGTCTTTAGCATGCCCAGTGAACTTCGACTGCACACAGCAGAAGTGCCATCATTACACCGCTTGACTAAAGGTGACAACAACAGCATCACAGACATTGCGAGCCGGCAATCACAGAGTTTCATGTCAGGTTGAAGGACTTAGAGTTGCGCAAATTGCAGAAAATGATTCACCCAGATCGTTTGGAGGGTCAGCGGGAACGTAACTGTTGAAGATCGCAGAGGAGATGATGTGAAACGATGGAGTAATTGTGTTGTATTATTATTTTTACAAACTTGAATTACCCGTACCGAACAGAACAAAGTGTGTGTGTGAACCATAACTAGCCCAAGCAGTGAGCACTAAGAACACAGCTATCTCAGCAGTTCAAAGAATCGTTAATCACCTTTCCGTACTACATACAGTCATGCATTGTATTCTTGATTAAATGGGTACGTTACTATCATATATATGTATATATATATATATATATCTATGAAGGTAATAGTCCAATTCGTGCAACATCATGACGGTTTCCAAATCTATTCATCCCATTGTCGAACGTTTTCACCTTCATGCACGGGAATGTGTATGCTACTACTCCATATCACACACAAAATTTACATAATGGTTTTCACTTTTTTGTTGCTTCCTTGAGTCGAGCGCGTTAGAAAGGTGCGATTTCTCTATTTCGACGACGATTGCTGACGTATCGATCATAAGACACGCAAACATCCGTGTATAAAAATCATACAAACTTATTTATGAAAATGACCAATATTAATAACACAGATATAGGGATACCCTTTTTCAATAGTCTTTGGGTTCTCGTTTATTTTTTAGCACTTCGATCAGCCTTTTCGGCATGGATACCACCAACTTGGAACTTGGATCACTTTTGTTGGTTTCCTCTAGTACATGCTGCATCCCGACCACTCTCAAGCAAGGTGGTA